AGTCAATAATTATGGGTCAGCTCTCAACGTGAGTTGGCCATTTACTTCAGAAGCGCTACGTGAATTTTCACAACTGAGGGTGTAGCTCAATATAATTACGTTGAAGGGAAGTAAGGTCAGAATGAGAGCTACCCATCTTTAGCTGGCACATTCCCTCCATCCTCTTCTCCTTCAATGTGCTGTAGGACAGGATCTTGCCCTTTCAATGGTTCAGATCGCTGGCCACACAGGGCACGTCCAGACGAGTGTGCACCTGCAGTTTGCGGTGCTACAGACCTATCTGTGGCACCACAAACAGCAAGTGTTGCACATGCAAGCGTTTGCCACACTGCTAATTTGCAGTGCAATGGCGGGGTTTTGACACCGGAAGATCCCAGCATTAAAAAAACAACTCCTGTACCAGAAAAAAGTGGGGTGGTGCATGCTTTGGGCAGTGCACGCTGCCACCACTGGAGCCTGGCTAGCCAGAGGACAGTCCAACTGCTGGCCAGGCTCTGCATGCCTGGATCACTGCTGCTGGAGCCCCAGAAAGTCCCCAGGAGCCCAGGGACAGCCCAGGTGCTGGCCCCAGTCTTGCCTACCCCACCTGGGGCAACTTGCCACGTGCCAACTAGCACCAGCACAGCTATATTCCTGCTTGTGGGGATGCATCCACAGTGCCACACAAGGCAGCCAAGAAGAAATCACTGCCTTTGCCTTGATGAGCCCAGAATCGGGTTCCTGGAGTCTGGCTGCAGGTCTTTGCAGCCATCCACAGGACTAAGTGCTTGATGTTTATGGCCAACCCTTCTGCCGGTGTGACTCAGGACGGCTTCATTGTAATCAAGGCTGATTCATTCCAGCTGAGGATCTGGCCTGTAATTTTTGACTGTCTAGCAATGCTACTGTCTGAGGCAATAAAGCTAGTTCAGAAAAGCAAGAGAAGATCCAACCACAAAACTGGACAGGTTCCCTTGACCAGAAGACAGTGAACACTCACAGGGTCTGATCCTGTTTCTGCTGTGATTAGCAGAAGTTTTGCCATTAACTCCAGTGGGAACAGAGTCCTGCTTGTGGTATATTAAGAATATCAGATCCTGGAAAGCTAAAGGCTTGCCTGAGCTTTTTATAGAGGAGACAGGAGAAGATACAGGAAAGCTTTCCAGGTAGCAGCTTTTCTGTTTGGGGGCTCTTACTGGCGCTCTTGGAAACAGATTCTCTGCATAATGGACTCTCCACAAGCTCATCCTGGCAGGAATGAGGCCAGAGTGTGTAACTAAGAGAAAAAAAAAAAACCCAGACAAATTATTTCTGCTACAGAGCATTTGATTTCCATGTTATATTGGGCCCCTTTTCAGGTGCTTGTATCCAAGGTGAAGCAGGTCTTAGCTGCTGTCTTAGCTAGGGTGCTGTGCAAAGCCTTTGAACCTGGCAACTAAAGGGTTAAATGTTGGTATCTAATGAGCAAGGATTAGAGATGAAAGCCAAGTTCCTCCTATGGACCTGATGTTGAACAGGGCTTGTTATCCAAAGGATAGCTGAAGCCATGACTCATAAACCAGGAGCATCTAAGGGAAGGTATCTGCTGTGGGCATATACAATTAGTGAATTAATGCCCTAGTCCCAGCATCAGCTCTGCTCTGCTAATTGATGCATTGCCTCTGCCATTCTCATCCATTTCCACCTCATCATCTTGCTCAGAGCTGGTGGTGCAGATGTTAAGAGGGGGCAGTCTCTTCATGCACCTTTTGTGTGCACGCCTGGATACAAGGTCAGGCTAGACTGATCCTCAGTATAATCTGATTGCTACCACCTGAGACTCCCCAGCGTGGTCTCCCTTTCGAGATAGGGTCTGACAGATCTCAGCAAGTCCTTCCGCTAGAATTACAAACCTTGTGGGGAAGCAAAAAAGAATGTCTCTGTATCAGAAACCTTTAAATCTGAAGAAGTGAATGGCACCGCTATCAGCTCTGGCAAGAGACGTAGCATTTGCATGAATTGCAAACCAAGGCTTTTTTAATTGATGCTGTTATACCAGCCTGAATTCATAACGGACACTTGCACAGAACTGTTGCTACAGCCATTTTCATAAACTCCATCATAATTCCAGCAGCTGCTGCAATCTGATACACCCTGCGGCCATGCTGCATTGTAGTGTTTGTAAATATTCTGTATCGATGGCCCGGGAAACCAAAGTCCACCGTCTCTCCCCAGAGCAGCTGTGGTGTGAGTAGGGTAAGCTTCCTGGCACATAGTCCACTGAACTTTTCTGGGGCTGGGTAGAGGGCAGGGACTGAGGAGAGGCCTCAGTGGGTGAAAATCAACAAAGCTCAATAGAGCTATTTTAGATTTAGTGAGGCCATGCTCATTTACATGCTTGAAGCTCTCTCTCGCCTTGTCTAGAACTACTCGGCACCTCTTCTTTTCACTGAGGTTGCCAGGTGTGATTTGGACAGATGTTCCCTAGGAAGTTTGTTACATGCATGGCCTTCTCCCTGGCACACCAGACTGTGGTGCAGGAGAGGTGTGTCTCAGTCCTCTTCACTTGTGTCTCAGTTTTCCCATCTCTAAATGGGGTTAATGATAATGAAATGCTTTGAAATCAACTGATGAAAAGTGCTAGGTATTTTTATTAGACAGCTTCAGATTTAGATTTTATTAGATAGCATCAGTTATCTTAGGTACCTGATTCTCTATTGGCCTGGGGTCAGTTGGCTCCACTGGAGCTTCAGTGCCGAGGCTGGATTTGAACCAATGCCCGGTAGAAGAGGCTAAGGCTTGCGTGGGCTTTCAGTTATTAGCAGCTCCAAATCAAGCACCTTGAGGCTATGACCAGAATTTCCAGTAAAACTGGATCTAGCAGTCCTCTTTGCTCTCAGTGGAGGGGTGGTTGTATGCATTTCATAGATTTCATAGACATGAGGGCTGGATAGGGATCTTGAAAGATCATTGAGTCCAGCCCCCTGCTCCAGGGGCAGGAAGTCAACAGGGATCATAGGATCCCAACAAGATAAACATCCAAATGTCTCTTGAAGGTGTTCAAAGTAGGTGCTTGAATCACCTCCGGCGGCAGGCTATTCCAGACCTTGGGGGCTCGGACAGTAAAGAAGTTCTTCCTTATGTCCAGCCTGAAATGGTCATGGAGGAGTTTGTGTCCGTTCGACCTTGTCCTCCCTTGGGGCACTCTGGTGAACAGACATTCCCCCAGATCCTGGTGAGCACCCCTGATAAACTTAGAGGTGGCCATCAGATGGCCCCTGAGCCTGTGCTTTTCCAGGCTGAAGAGTCCCATGGCTCTCAGCTTCTCTTCATAAGGTCTGTTTGGTTTTTTTTTTGAGGGGGTCGAAATGAGAGCTGGTGGTAGCTGAGCTCTTCAGAAATGTCAGCCTCCACGGTGGGAGCTGAGTCCTTCTGAATCTACTGGAGGGCTGGGCCCATGGACTCTGACTTCAGTGGAGCTGCCACAGTTGATACCAGCTAAGGATCTTGCCCGTTGTCCCAGCAAAGGACAAGCCAAGGTTCTCCTAATTATAACTCAGGGTGACCACTAAGTGCTTGGGCAGCCTTTGGGTAAGGACTAGTTGTCTCACCATGCCATCACCCTTTGCAATTTAGCTGGTTGACCTATTAATGATAACATGAATATTAATTTCTCCTTGGAACTAACATGAATAACACATAGGAGAAAAACAGAGGCACAAACTAACCCAGGGTATTTCCAGTGCAGGGTCCTAGGTGTGGGACTAGGTTCTTCCTTGTTATTTGAAGTAGCTGGTGGAAAGCTAGGGAGAACTAGGCCTCCTTGCAAAGATTATATCACATCCAATCTCACTGTAAGCTTCCCCCAGGCATCTCTGTGTCTCTGCCTTACTCTTGACCTTAAATGGTCCCTTTAAATGGTTCAGCTGCTAGTAGGACCGGGGAATGGTGGCCGTGCTATACGGAAGCCTATTCCTCAGGAAAAGGACTAAGAGCTCCCAACAGGTGCCCAGTCTGGTTTGCAGGGACAGACCCTGTAGTAATATCTTTTTGGCCTTGGAGGTCTTGAGCTTTGCCACCGTGGTTTAGTACCTTGTGTAGCTCAGAATCAAGGTATTTGACCCCACAGACAGCGGTCATTTTTATTTTGAGAACGTTTATCAAAGTTGGCACCGTGACAAGTAGGCAGGACACCACTGACAGGTAGAGTTAGTTCTCTAAGGGCCACAATCTGTTCCACATATTAGGATCAAAATGGACTTAGGCACCTAAGTGTGGTTCTATCCTGCCCTGTTCAAGTACCTGAAAAATCATTAAGCCATTTGTTTTCATAATAAACCCTCATCTTACCCTTAATGCTGAACCACAAAAAAGTAGCGAGGAGGAGGAAGAGGACACACCCACCTGTTGCATTAACTGCATTTCAGGGACTCGAGCAGGGTGGAACAGGATCATATTTAGGATCCTAAGATCACTAATACACCCAACAGGAGGAATAGAAGCTGCCCTAAATGTTTCTTGGGAATCTTCTCTTTGCCAATGACCTCTTGCAGAAAAAGCATCACTCGTCTACTTTGACGGGATAGCTGGAGAAGATGAGGTGGGGGGCTAGAGCCGTATGTGCATGTTTATAAAACATGGGGCAGAAAGAACATTGTGGAGCTGCATCTGATCCCCCAGGTCTGAACACAGCAGGCATCTTTCCTCAGATTTATATGAGTGGGAAGGGAATCCAATTTCCCTTTCTTGACCCCATTTTGATATCTGCAATACATGCATTAGAAAGAACGCTAAGCTCTTTTAATTCACGTTAATCTCTTTACTTAATGTGTAACTTAAACTATATGCATGGATAGGTAGTTATCTTTGCGTACATAATTTCTTAATCTGTGCATGCATTGCCTTTTCTTGACCCCCTCACCCCCATATAATACTCTCGTACCTTTGTTTTCCACTGCAAAGTTCCTACTATCATTACACCCAAGTCTTCTCCATCCCACTTGTGACATCCTCCTAACCACTGAATTAATTTCCTCCTTCAGGTAGTTGCCTTTGCCTCGCTTTTCTTCATCCTGGTTTCCATTACGACCTTCTGCCTGGAGACACATGAGGCCTTTAACATAGACGTCAACGTGACTGAAACACTGGTGGTTGGCAATACCACTACAATCCTGCTGACACGCAAGGTGGAGACGGAGCCCATCTTGACCTACATTGAGGGAGTCTGTGTCCTGTGGTTCACCCTGGAGTTCCTGGTACGCATTATTTGCTGCCCAGATAAGCTGGTCTTCATCAAGAACCTACTCAACATCATTGATTTTGTGGCCATCTTGCCCTTCTATCTGGAGGTAGGCCTCAGCGGCCTGTCCTCCAAAGCTGCAAGGGACGTGCTGGGCTTCCTGAGGGTGGTCCGTTTCGTCCGGATCCTTAGGATCTTCAAGTTGACACGACACTTTGTGGGGCTTCGGGTGCTAGGCCACACACTCCGGGCTAGTACCAACGAGTTCCTGCTGCTCATCATCTTCCTGGCCCTAGGGGTCTTGATCTTCGCTACCATGATCTACTATGCCGAGAGGATTGGGGCCAAGTCATCGGACCCCAGAGGAGGTGATACGCACTTTAAGAACATCCCCATTGGGTTCTGGTGGGCAGTCGTCACCATGACAACACTGGGATATGGTGACATGTACCCCAAGACCTGGTCAGGCATGGTGGTGGGGGCACTGTGCGCGCTCGCTGGGGTGCTCACTATTGCCATGCCAGTGCCCGTCATCGTTAATAACTTTGGAATGTATTACTCACTGGCTATGGCCAAGCAAAAGCTTCCAAAGAAGAAGAAAAAGCATATACCCCGTCCAGCCCCACTGGACTCCCCCGCCTACTGCAAGTCTGAGGATAACTCGCCCCGCAGCAGCACACAGAGCGACACTTGCCCCCTGGCAACAGAGGAGGTGGCAGAGAGGAAACGAGCAGGTGAGATGCAAACCCCCAAGATACATAAAGCCTGAAGGGGGAGGGAACAGGTGACAGGTACGTACATCCAATCCAGATTTCATAGATTTTTAGGGTTGGAAGGGACCTATTAGATCACCGAGTCCGACCCCCTGCTCTGGGGCAGGAAAGAGCGCTGGGGTCAAGTGACCAGGTGCTTGTCTAATCTCCTTTTAAACACTTCCAAGCTAAGGGAAAGTACCATCTAGTGCCTTACAATAGCTCTGGGATGGATTCTGCTCCCAATGCTATATTTGATGGTCACGGTTCCAAGGGAGCTGCTACAGATTCAGCCTAGTAAAAGTAAGAGCAGAATATGGCCCTGACGCTACCACTTCAGTGAGATCCTGTTGCAAGAAGGGCCAGAGGCAGCCTGATTGCTCTGTGCTGGATCAATTTGTGTGCAAGTGGCCAGAGGCTCAGGTGATTTCAGCATGATGAGAAGCAGGTAGGGACTGAGCTGCATGGGCCTAATTCTGCTCTGACAGAGATAAAGATCAAGGCTAAGTCTACTTGACCTTCCCCTCTTATTCACCTGGTAGCAATCTGGAGCACTGTCATTGGGACATCTTCCCCTCCCTCTCTCTCCTCCACATGAATTAGGTAGGATCATCCTGGATCTGATGCTCCTCCCACTTATACCTGTAAATCGGGAGTAACCACAGTGGGATAAGGGGTCCTTTTACTCCTCAATGTGTAAATGAGAAGTAACTGTCAGGCCATATTCCTGTCCCAACCTGGTCTAGGTCAGGAGTAACTCCATTGGGTCAGAGTCCCTTCTCATGAACACTTGTGTAAATCACGAATGACTGCATCAGATCATGATCTCCTATTGTTTCTTATGCTGTAAATCAGGAGTAACTTTACTGGTTGTAGAGAAAAGAAGACTGGGTGGGGATGGGAGACCATGAAAACAGCCTCCCAGAACCCAACAACCTGGTATAAAGGGGATGTTGGTCAAGTCTTCTCCATCACTACTGAAAGAAAGATGCAATTAAATCAGTTTATTCTGCAGCAAGAGGCTTATGTTGGTATTAGGAAAACCTGTCTAATGTAGGGGAGTAAAACTGTGGAACAGCCATGGGGAGGTTGTGGAATCTCCTTCACTCCAGGTGTTAACGAACAGGTAAGCAAACATCTGTTGAGGCTCGGCCAGTGTAGAGGGTTGGACTAGATCATCTCCTGAGGTCCCTTTTGAGTGTGCCCCACATGCTAGCTAGCAGCTAGCCTGAGAAGATCAGCTTCTAGCATACATTGTATTCCAGTATTTGAACTGCTACCATATGGTATGCTGGCATTTTTGCAGCTGGCACGGCCTGCAAGGTGCCTGAGTAACTGGCCAGTCCAAGCCTTGAGTCTGTCTCCTGGTAGCTAATTTATCCCAGCTTGATTGTTCCACTGTGCTCCGTTTACACGACTAGTTTGGGCTTGTTCCACTGACCTTATGTCTATACTTTACTGAGCTAGCTGGGTCTCCTTGCTGGGATCTCCAGCCTCATTGGGCCACATGGAAGCTGCACTGTTGAGGAGCCAGGGGCAATCTGAACCATGGCACCACAGTCACTGGTCAGCCCTGGTGGCATGTTTTATAGAGTCAGAAGAAGCAATTTCTCATGCGGTGTCTCCAGAGCACAGTCTGCCATCAAAGGGAACGAGCTGCAGCTTGCTCCTGATCTATACGGCCTCTCGGTGCCAGTGCTTTTCAGCAGCGAAGCTACGTGTAGCTGCTTCCCAAGGCTTTGTGCGTCTCTGGGGTTTCTTGCTGCAGGTGCTGACTGGCAGAGAAAGGTGTTCTGGGCCCTCCATGGGGAAACACTGCTCGTGGCAGAGAAGAAATTCAGATTCCTTTGTTTCTCCAGGAAAAAAAAGCCACCAAATGTTCCTGCTAGACAGCATCCTTCCCACCCAATAGTGGCTCTCACAGAGCTGCCAAAAAGAGGGGAGCTATCCTCAGCTGGTGTCAAGAAAAGCAACAACATTGGCCCTGAAGGAGCATCACCGATTTGCAGGAGCTGAGAGTCCAGGCTGAGATGGTAGTCTCCAGTTCTGAATGTCAAAAGCAAATGCATTCAAATCATATCAAGAGCTTAGCCTCCAGCTTAGACTGGAGCCTTGGCAGTGGGACCCCTTTCACCAAGGCCACTGCTTCCAATCTGTCTAGCTCAGCAGTGGGTGAAAGAGGCAGCATATGGGCACAAGAGCAGGCTGGTGGGACCTAGATGACAAGCAAATTTAATTGGAATTAGGTGGCCTCTGTGCTGGCAGTTTCAGCAGAGAAGCCAAAGACGGAATGGGCCATAGCGACTGAACTTCCTTTGGCCCAAGTGTTGATGCCATTCAGTTCGTGGTTGGATATACAGCATGATGGAAACTGGTCTGATGGCAGCTATCTATGATGCACCTGTCTTGCACCAGCCCTGAATTCACACAGCTTCTCAGCGGTCATCCCAGTCAGGTTTTCAGCTTCATTGAGCGATGCCATCTCAGGATCTGGCCCTGCTTGTGTTTGCTGATGGGTGCGTGGTAGTGCCTGCCTGCTGCCTCTTGTATTTGCCTGTGTTTACATGCACTACAGTGATATTTGAGAACCTCAGCTGAGCTGCACGTGTTTCCTTATTAACTCCCTTATTTCTACATGCTTGCAAACATTTACTTTTGGACTGAAGCTTTGTGAGACTCAGACCCAGTCCTCAGTAAAAGTCCACTGGGTGCAGCCTGGGGCATATGCAAAGGAGCCAGCTGACGTTCCCAATTCTGCAGGTGGCAGTTTGATCCCCAGGGTAATTTAGATTAACCCTTGGAGCTGATCAAGGACTGACCTTTTGATCAGTCCTGAACAAAACCCCTCCAGTCCGTTTGGAGATACAAGAGAATGGAATTGCCTGGGGAATAGGCCATCAATCCCATTGACCGCAGACATGGCTCAGTTCCTCTCTCTCCCTTTAGCCTGGTCCCCTCAGGTCAGGGCTGGGGGATACCAGTTTGGGCAATGTTCAGGGGAACATTTCTGTATCTAGTGGGCAGCCATCTGCAAGGCCTTCTTATAGCCAGTGGCAAGAGCCCCGATCGCAGCAGTTTCCGTGGAGAATTAATATTTTTCTTAATTTTTCTCCTCCTTGGCCCTGTCTCTGAAGACTCCAAGCAGAACGGCGATGCCAATGTGGTGCTGTCAGATGAAGAGCAGCCCCTGTCACCATCCAACGAGGAGAAAAAGCCCATGAGACGCTCCAGCACCAGAGACAAGAACAAGAAAGCGGCTACATGCTTTTTGCTGACTGCTGGGGACTTCTCCTGTGCAGCTGATGGTGGCATCCGGAAAGGTATGGGTGAGACCTAGGGGCACTTGGTAACTGGAGAGAGAGCCCAGGCAGGGAAGGGGGAGGACAGAGGAACAAGTACAGATGCATGAGGTTGATTTTCCATGGGGGGGCCATTTCCAGCTGCTTTCCCGTTGGTTCTCCTCGTTGTGACCCCTTTTGAAGAAAAGAAAAATGCGTCTTTCCTACGGACGGTGCATTCCCTGCCCTTCTCCTGCCAGTGCTGTCCCTGAAGCCCCATGCCTGTAGCTATGGTGCAACATGCACACACTGTGCTGCTGAGGTGAAACAACCTACCCATCACATGTGTACAGCTGTTCAGTAATGAATGCCAAAGTCTGTCCATAAGATGTCATGTGGCCATGAGCTTTTGGCCTTCTAAGCCTCATCTTTTAATCTTGCTCTACAGATGTGTGCTGTCCTGGCACTGTGTTTGTCCAATGCCTCCAGATGTGCCTTACATCTGTCAGAGACCTCTTTCTTTTCATTGTCCTGTATGGCTTTTGTTCTTTCACTTCTTCTATCCATCCCTCTGCCAACACTGCACTTTTCTTTTCCCCTGTTCCACCGCTTTCTATACTTGGCTTTCTATACTTACTGGAATTCCCTTTTAGTCTTCCCATACTTCACATCCTAGGTTTTAAATTTCCACCAAAATCCACCAGGCCTTTTCCAGCTGAACCTAATTATGTCTTTCCATACTGCACCAGCTAAGGAGCTAATAAAGTGACTTTTAGGTCCAGTTAGCTGAACCAGTCTGACTATTGTACATCCATCGGTTTTACCTGGGGCCCTTTCTCCTCTGGTCCATTAGACTAGCATGTGGTATGTTGCTGTTTTATAAGCACATTCTGCAAAGAGCTTAACTGAGAACTGGGAAAATGAATCAAATGGGGAAGTTTCTCTTTCCTATCTCATGAGCCACATAAACAGGCTTCTCTTCTGGCTGTGTTTTCTTTCACTGGGTTGTGAGCTCAGAAGCTCTAAACAACAGCTTAAGTCTTTAAATCTCAAACTGAGGCACCATAGTTTAATCTCCCCTCTCCATCTTGCACAGTAAAATGCTGTAGCCGAGAGCTGGACTGCTCCTGCCTTCTTGGTAACATGTAATTTCAAGGCCTAACAGCTCTGCTTATTCTCACGTATCTCACTTGTCAGGGCCATTGTGTATTGTGCATCCACCTCTGTGCCAGGTTCAGAGAGCAGATGAGTTTGGTATAGCTTTCAGCTAGGAGTCCTGACACATTAGCTCAAGCAGAAAAGATTCCTGCTTTCAACTCCAGAGGGTCACAGCTCAGTCCTTGGTGCCAGCTAACAAGGTGACTGTCACACGAGCATTTCTCATGGCAGTAAAGATGGGGTCATGCTAGCACTGCGGTGTGTCCAGGGGTGGGGAGCTGTGAGCTGCTTCCCAAGTGCCCGTTTCTCTTATAGTCTGAAGGGCTAACTCAGCAGCAAGAGTCTTGTATCTGTGATCTCTTAGGACAAGGAAGAATCATCTGCCCTCGCTGAGGCTGATTGAGCTCTGAGGGCTTGGGAACAGCACTGCCCAACCAGTGGTAAATGCAGTGCGAGTATACTGAGGCCAGTCCCTTGCAGTGCAGAGACCCCTAACTTGCATTAAATTTACTTTACCATCATCCCTACTGCTAAACCCACGCTAATAAGAGACACTAGGCAAAGCTGTCAGCCAATCATTGTGGTAGTAGCAACCAGATCCCTCCAGCACGTCCAGCAGAGACTGGCATTGGAAAGGGTCTATGAAAGACCCTTCAATTGTTCTTCCCTAATGTGAAGATTAAAAACCACAGAAGTCAATGAGCCTTTACATTGGTTTCACTGCACTTTGGGCCAGGTCTCAGGTCAGTTAGGATACTGGCAGATGATAAGGGAGATCAGATTTATAATGTGTGGTACTTCTGGGCATCAATAAGGGGAGGAGGTGATTAGAAACTCAGAGACACTTGATTGGAATATTTTAATAGTTTTTGGCACTGGTAGAAAAATGTCACTTCTGTTTCGCAGGTAATTTTCAAAACTGCTTACTAAAAAACTTCCAGCTATTTTTTTTAAAACATTTTTCTGGTTAAAAACCCCCCAAAACTGAAAATATTTTCAGTTTTCCAAGAATGTGTTTGGCAAATCCAAAGCCTTAAAAATTCCAACAATTCATCTTGAGAAACAAGTGAAAAGTCTTCCTTTAATTAAGCCTTTGAGGGGGACGAGTGCAGTAAATATTTCCGCAAAGAAAAGTTTCCAGCTTTTTTGCATGAAAATAAACAATTTTTGCCAAATTTTTACTTTGGTCAAACAAACCCTTTTTTCAATGCGAGGTTGCTGTTGGAAGACCATCTTCCTTCTAAGCATGGCCACCTGGTCCTAGAGCAGCACCAGCTGCAAGCACTGAGCTGATTGGCTGTAGAGCCAGCTGAGCTGAGTATATAAGCCCAGGCCCTTCAGTTAAGCTCTTGCTGCTCAAATTGTAAGCATAATACAATTGTAAGAAGGCTATAGGCATTCTTGTGGAGTGTGGGCCTAGCCAAGTACCTGAGATTGCAGGGGATCTAGATCAGTGGTTGAGGCTATGACAAAAGGGGAAAAACCCAGCTGTCAGAGTCACATTTCTAATCCAATATGATATCTGTATTCATAGTCCAGGCCTGAGGTCAGGAGCAGAACAGGATAAGCAAGGACAAGATAATGGGGTCTGGAGCTGGAGCACGCCTGAGATCCTACAAGGTGTGAAGGATGAGAATGCAACGAGCAAATTGCACCCAGCACTATAGCTCTTCGACTTCCTGACTAGATGGGGAAGGCAAGAAGAAGTTTAAGTTTACAGGGCATGAAGTTAAAAAGCTGGTTTTAGCCATGTCCACAATAGGCATGCATTGGAGAAACTAGGATTAGTCAGTCTGGGGAAGACCAGACTGAAGAGGGATTTGATGACAATCTTCAAATACAAAGGGGTTTATTCTCAAGAGGGTGCTGATCAGTTGTTTCCTGAGTCCCCAAGAGGCAGACTGAGAAGTAATGGCTTAAATTCCAAGAAGGCAGATTTGGAGATTTGGGTTAGATACTACAAAGCCCACTTTACCTTTCAGAGTGGTTAAACCCCAGAACAGATTATCTCAAGCAGTTATGGAGCCTCTGGTATTAGAAGTTTTTAAGTACAGGTTAGATACTTTGTCTGCGATGGTGCAAATTAGTGATGATTCTGTCTTGAAAAGGGGGGCTAGACCAGATGACCTCCTGAAGTCCCTTCCAGCCCCATTTTTATGAAAAATGCTTATTTTGATTATTGATTCATGTAGATGGTCCTGTTTGCACACTTTATAGTTTAGAGGCACACATGAACGACTCAAGCTTGACCCTAAACAGAAATGCAGACACCCCCAGGGTAGGACCTGGCATGCTTACAGTCTAAGCGATGTTACAAGCCTGTTCCAAAACATAGACGGTATTTACAATATGTAGCAGGAGCCACAGGGAGATGGAGTTAGAAAGTGTGTAATTATTATCCGCATTAGCTGGGCCCCAGAGGGCTGGGCTCCCTCCTTTGGAGAAAAGCTCTATGAGATAACATGAAGTCATTGGCAGTCAGGGCATCTTTGGCAGTCAGGGCATCTTTTTAACAGCTGATCAAAAAACAGAACCTCATTAGCTTCACCTCTCCTATCCATCATGTTGGGACACTGATTCACAACCAGATCCACGCAAAGAGCACCCACCCTTCTGAATCACTGTTTCCTGGAGATCCCCCCAGTCAAGTACAGCCCTAGTCTGGTCCTACCTGACTTTATCACAGTGTAGTGCTATATGCAGACCTCAAACCCTGCATTTTTCAAATCTCCAACAAGACATCTGACCCTTCTGGTCAGTTCAACTGGAGCAGGATAGCTGATGGCTTGGGAACTGGTGAAGACACCCTGTGAGCAAGTGCCTCATCCAGCTTCCTTAGCTAGGCCAGTTAGTTTTGTGTTCAGACTTTCCAAACAGTTTTTATTCCTCTTGAACAGGCTTCACAGCCATAACAAACCAACCCAAGGCAAGACCCATCACCTTCCTTCAGGCAGTATAGGAGGAATTGCTTTGATTCTGGGCTTCCCTCTCCTCCTGGAGTTTTTAAACCCTCTTTACGGCTCTTCCTTCATTAGCTAGTATCAGCCCCCGCTGGCTCCCAGGCTCCCAGCCAGGCAGACTATTAGCTGCTGAGTACCTGCAGCTGGGTAAAGGAGGGCACAGCACCTCTTTACACACCCATTTGGAACCCCTACCCCCACGGCACAGCACCTCTTTACACACCCATTTGGAAACCCCCCCCCCTGCTTTCTTCATTCTGCAAGGCAGCAAACCGATACATCTCAGAATATATCTTCACTGCACAGTTAACCTGAATAAGTAAAGCTTGGGTCTGAGTATCTAGGTCAGCCTCACATGGGGAGTGCAAGGTCCTACTTGCATTTTTGTGTCCTCCCTGTTTCAGCACTTGTGCATGGGTGTTGGGGCATATCCTGTGCTCAGACAGTTTAGGATCAAGTATGGGAGACCTTGCAGTGGAATTGTGGGAAGGTTATTGGAGGCCTGTCCACACTTAGGTGATTTGTCTTGCACCCTCACTGCAAAGCAAGCAGGTTTCAGTATGAGTTCAAGCAGAACTGGGGCTCTGCCCCATATCCAAAGATCAATAAACTAGACTCACTTAAAGCTCCTCCATACCCAGGTCAGAGGCATTGCTGGTGGGTGATGGGATAGTGGAAAACTAAACCCAGGTCACAACATGGCTTACACTTGCAGTGAAGGCATAGCTTCAGGGGATCAAGATGGATGTTTCTCATCATACTTTATGACATACATTTAGCTTGGAGATTAGCGACTGTTCCTATTAACTGCAGCCTTTGTTTCATGCATTGTTATTTAAAGTGGGTCCTTCAGGTGGGAGCAGAGAAAGACAGGGCTAGATATGCCTAGCAGGATGCTTTGTATGCCCCATCATGACAAGCATC